TCTCTCCTCCAGTGAGGATCAATGGCTCCTTTGCCAAAGATGAGGTAGCTGAGCATGTCTGGAGTTGTTTCTGCATCTTATAATCTATTCCACTAATCATTGGGTCTGTTTCTTTGCCAATATCATGCTTTTTTATCACAGTGGTTTGTGGTATAGTTCTCAAGTTGGGGATTGTGGTACCCTCTGCCATGTTTGTAGTGCCTAGAATTGCTTTTGCTCTTCTAGGTCTCTTCCTATTCCAAGTGAATTTTTTGATTGTTTTATCTAGTCCTGTGAAATATACTGCTAGGACTTCAATAGAGATTGTATTAAATCTGTACAGAAGTTTTGAAAGTAAGACCACTTTCACTATATTGAAAAAAATGACATTTAGAAAAAACAATTCACAGAATTATTGAAAGAAAACTTCCCAAACATAGCAAAAGAAATTGACATACAGATAAGTGACACATATAGGATTCCAGTTAATCATGGTCAAAAAATTCTAAACCTAGACAAATAATAATCAAGATCCTGGAAACCCAACAGAAGAACAAAATATTACAAGTACTTAGAGAAAAGAAACAAATCCAAAAGGAAAGCCCATAAGGATCACAGCAGACTTTTCAACACAAACCCTCAAGTCAAGGAGAGCTGTGAGTGTTATTTCAAGCCCTAAAAGAAAACAACCTCCAACCTAGACTGATATATCCTGCAAAACTGTCTTTCAAAATTGATGGGGAAGTAAGATATTTCCATGACCAAAAAACACCTGAGAAAATTCACAAATACCAAACCAGCACTCCAAACAATTCTAAACAAATCCTTAAAAAAGACAATGAGGGTCAGAACTCCATTTGTCTGAAGAGAGCAAATCCATGAGGTAAGGAAAGAAATTAAAGGGAGAGAGAGATAAATTGAAAAGAGCCAACAACAGGAAAATAATATGATGACAATGTCAATACATATCAGTTATAACTATCAATGGCCTCAATTCACCAATCAAAAGAAAGACTGGCAGAATAGATTAAAATACAAAACCGAACAATAAATTGTATACAAAAAATGCACCTACTTCAAAAAGGAACCCATACATGGAAGGTAAACGGATGGAAAACAGTTCTCCATGCAACAGAAACCAGGAAAAAGGTAGGGGTCACTATCTTATTTGGAGACAAAGTAAATTTCAAACCAAAACTAATTAAGAGATACAGAGAAGGTCACTACATCCTGGTAAAAGGGACAATCCAAGAGGAAGAGATGGCAGTCATAAA